CTGCCCGGCTTTTTTTTTTTGTATTGTTAGAAGATGGGGTTTCACTGTGTTAGCCATGATGTCTCCTTTCTGACCTCGTGATCCGCGCGCCTGTGCTTCCAAAGTGCTGGGAGTACAGGGCGTGAGTACGTAGCAGCCCGAATTTCATTGAATTTTTAAAAGCATCTATTGGAATTATTTATGGCTTTTGTCCTGCATTCCTTTGATGCATTGTATCACGTTTATTGATTTCCATATGCTGAGTTTGTATTTTTGGTAGAAACAGATTTCATCATGTGGCTCAGGCTGGTCTGCAACTCCTGAGCTCAAGCAATCCACCTGCTTTGGCTTCCCAAAGTGCTGGGATTACAGGCATGAGCCACTGTGCCTAGCCTTTACTCTTCTAATGTAGGCATTTATTAGTATAAGCTTCCCTCTTAGTACTGCTTTTGATATATTTGATAGGTTTTGGTACGTTGTATTTCAATTTTTTAAAGTTTCAAGAAACTTTAAAATTTCTGTCTTAGTCACTGCATTCAACAATGGTATTCAGGAACATGTTATTTAATTTCTATGTATTTGAATAGTTTCCCAAATTTCTCTTGTTGTTCATTTCTAGTTTTATTCTATTGTGGTCACAGAAGACAACTGATATAATTTTGATTTTTTCAAATTTTCTTAGACTTGTTTTGTGGCCTAAGGTATAGTCTGTTCTGAAGAATGTTCCATGTGCCAATAAGAAGAATGTGTATTCTGCAGCTGTTAGATAAAATGTTCTGTCAATATCTGTTAGATCCATTTGGTCTGTAGCGCAGATTAAGTCAGATGTTTCTATGTTGATTTTCTGCCTGGAAGTTCTGTCCAATGCTGAAAGTAGGTTGCTGAAGTCTCCAGCTATTATGGTATTGAAGACTATCTCTCTCTTTAGCTGTAATACTATTTGCTGTATATATCCGGCTGCTCCAGTTTTGGGCATATATATATTTCCCATTGTTATATCCTCTTGCTGAGTTAACCACTTCGTCCTCATATAGTAACCTTGTCTTTTTTCGCTGTTTTGTCTTGAAAGGTCATATAATAACCTCTTTGTTTTTTTTCACTGTTTTGTCTCTTTAGCTATAATAATATTTGCTTTATATATCTGGCTGCTCCAGTGTTGGGTACGTATGTATTTCCCATTGTTATATCCTCTTGCTGAGTTAACCACTTCATCTTCATGTAATAACCTTCTTTGTCTTTTTTTTATTGGTTTGTCTTTAAATGTCTTAGAAACTTTATCTGATATAAATATAGTGACTCCTGCTTTTTTGTTTCCATTTGCATGGAATATCTATTTTCATCCCTTCCTTTTCAGTCTGTGTGTATCTTTATAGGTGAAGTGAGTTTCTTTCCTTTTTTTTTTTATTGACAGAGTTTATTTCTTGTTGCCCAGGCTGGAGTGCAATGACACGGTCTTAGCTCACTGCAACCTCCGCCTCCTGGGTTCAAGTGATTCTCCTGCCTCAGTCTCCCAAGTAGCTGGGATTACAGGCACCTGCCACCACACATGGCTAATTTTTTTGTATTTTTAGTAGAGACAGGGTTTCACCATATTGGCCAGGGTGGTCTCAAAACTCCTGAACTCAGGTGATCCGCCCGCCTCAGCCTCCCACAGTGCTGAAATTACAGACGTGAGCCACTGTGCCCGGCTGAAATGAGTTTCTTACAGGCAGCATATAGTGAGCCTTGTTTTTAAAATACATTCAGCCACTCTATGTCTTTTTATTGGAAAATATAGCCTATTTATATTCAATGTTATTATTGATAGGTTACTAATGCCATTTTGTTACTTGTTTTCTGGTTGTTTTATTAGTCCTTCCTTTCTCCCGGTCTTCCTTTGTGTAGAAATGATATTCTTTGGTAGCATATTTTTATTTCTTGCTTTTTAATTTTTGTGTATCTATTACAGGTTTTTCCTTGGTGATTACCATGAGGTTTGCAGAAAACATAATCAATTCTTTTAAACTGATGACAACTCAACTCTGATAACATAGAAAAGAAAAAAGAAAGAAAAATTAACTTTGTCACTACTGCTTTTTGACTTTTTGTTGTTTCTATTTTTATATTTTTTCATCTTCAAAATTGTTTTACTTATGATTATTTTTGATGGGTTTGTTTTTTAGTCTTCACACTAAAGATATGAGTGATTTTTTTCCCCTGAGACAGAGTCTCGCTCTGTCACCCAGGTTGAAGTACAGTGGTGTGATCTTG